CCAAAGTGACTGCACTGTTTGATATTCTCATGAGCTACATAGGAATGTTCCAGTTTCTCTGTATCCTCAGCACTTGTTACTGTCCAGCTTTTTATTATAGTGGGTGTGTAATGGTGCCTCATTTTGGTTTTGATTTGCATTTCTCTGATGACTAATGATGTTGAGAATCTTTCATGTGTTTAATAGCCATCTGTATATCTTTGGAGAAATGTCTATTCAGATGCTTTGCCCATTTTTAAATTGCATTGTCTTTTTATTATTGAAAAGCTTGAATTTTGAATGACTATTCAATTGCACTTTAAAACTCAGCTCCAGCAGGGAGAGTTTGGACTTCTCCAATTTCATGTCTTTCCCCAGGAAACAGGATACCTTTCTGGGAGAACTCTAGTCCCTAAAGTTGGGCTTCTTAAGCTCTTTTTGGCTCACAGATATCTCTAAGAATCTATCTCATGAAAACTATCTACCCTTTCCCCAGAAAAATGTACACACGCACATTTATATATTTTGCATTTAATGTCAGGGAGTTCCTGGACCTTCCACCATTCAATCATTGCCTTGATCAGGTTCTTTCTTTTCGTAAGAGGAGCGCAAACCTACTTCTGATTCGATGATTATCAAATTATTGAACCTGGCCTTAATGGGCAACACTAAATTCCCAAATTCTAAGTTCCCATGGAGAAAAAAAGTGTGAACTGTGTTATTCAAATTACCAAAACAGCTTTCACAGAGAATTGCTCTAAAGGCCTCCCATCCATCATTCCTCTCAATTTGCCCCTTTGATCAAACCCGGCCACAAAAGCTTTAACCTGTAAAGTGTGGGACTCTCTCAGAACAGGTTCCTCCCGAATTGGACTTCTGCCTTATGCCATCAACCCACACTGAAGAACACTGGAGGGAATCTGTAACGGTTATTTTATTAGCAGTTATGAAAGTGTTGTAGGACCTCTCCTAATGTTCATACACCTTACCAAGTGCTTATATGCACACTCAGAAAAAGCTGTGCTTCTCTTAAACCTATGGTCTGTTTTGATCTTGTGGGTACCATAAAACTTTTAAGTGTTTTCTCTTCTGCACTTGCCCCTCAGAAGCTTAGAGGTAACTTAGCTGCCTGCCTCTAGCAACTGGACCAGACAACTGGATTCATTTGTGGATCCATGTTTATGGCCTGCAATTTCCCTTTGCCCTGATTCCACTGTTTCTTTCTGATGCATTTTTGTATATTATTTCAAACTGTTTTGGGACAAGCTGACAAATTTCTCTTTCTAACCTCTGTCATTCTGGATTTCAATGCTGTTCATGACAACTGTTTGCTTAACCTATGTCCTCACTGACATAGAGCTGATTTTATGGTTATTTTTCTCATCTGTAACTTTTAGGCACTGGTATTTTGCAGACAGAAAACCATCACCCATAGTTTATCAGGTGTTATGTGTGTATATGAGAGAGAAGGTAAAATTGTTTGGAGTTAAGTAGACATCATAGAAACACAGAGTGTTGTAGTATTTTTTTCTATTCAACAAGATACTTTCATAGTACAAACTATGCCAGGCAGTGTTCTAAATGCTTTAAAAATATTAACTAATTTAATTTTCACACACGCAAAAAAACTATTTTTATTGCCCCCATTTTACAGATGAGAAAATTGAGGCACAGAGTGGTTAACTTGCCCAAGGTCACACAGCTAATAAGTGGCACAGCTAGGATTAGGAACAGGGTCATCTGCCTGCAGAGTCCACACTCTCTACCTCTAGGCTCTGTTAGAGCCAGGGCTTTGGGACCCTTCACAAACCACCTAAACCCTCCTAGTCAAATGGAAACAATGACACTCATGCCTCCTGGACTTATCGGATGAAGTGAGGCTCCATGGGAAGGTAGTGTCCGGCTCATAGTGGGAACTCAACTTTGCCCTCTTCAGCTAAAATCTGCATAGGAATCCAGATGAAAATTCACTGGAAATCCAGGGCAAGAGAAATGAGATAACCCATCCAACAAAACATCATCTATGAAGATCAAAAGCAGACTACAAACGCCTCTTCTCCTCTCATTTGGGTAGCCTGATCACTACGGGATTTTGTAAAATGTGTGCTAAGAAACTAACTCAAATTTAGTTTTGACACATTTTAATATTTGGCATATCTTTGTGAAGAATGAAGTTGAGTTATTAAATTACAATCAAATGTCCTGACAAATTTAGACAATTAACTACTTCAACTTTAGACAGCAGTACGAATTTAAGGAAATACCTCATGATTCCTTAAGTATTTCCAGTGACTGCAGAGTCCATCATTGTTCCTTCAGGTTAATACACAGGAACAGGTCGTAGCCTGCAGATTTTAAGCTGAAGCCTGGGACCATCTGCAATTCAGAAATCCCTTACAGCCATCCACATAGGCACAGTACTTTCAGAGTCTGCAAAGCCCTTTCAGAAATACATTTTCAGTAAATCCTCTCAACTCCATTAGGTATTATTCCCGTTTTACAGATAAATACAACAAAGCCCAGAATGGTAGTGATTTTCATCCACCCAGTATTTGCTCAGCATCCATTATGTGTTAGGCAGCACATAATGGCTGACTGAGGCTGTAGGCAGGACCCAGCCACTGACAGACAAAATTAAAGAGGATGGCAGTGTGGTCAGTGCTTTGGGAGGAGCACACATAGGCTGCTGTGAGAGCACTGAAGAGAAATTCTCCCTGAGTCTGCTCAGGGGGTGAGGGAAAGCTTTGCCAAGGCAGGCAGAGTGGCCAAGTGAATGGGGTGTTTTAGGGGCACATGACAGGATGTGGGAAGAGGAGGCAAACCCAAAGGACAGCGTCTACAACAGCACGAAGGACGGTGTGGTGTCCCTGAGGAAGGACATTGACCCATGGGTTCAAACTATCTGAGCCTCTCCTGAGTGCTGGGCTTGTGCTGGGCAATGAGGCTCCCACCACAAACCAGATAAGCAAAGTCCTTGTCCTCGAGGAGTTTAATTCTAAAGGTAGAAATAGACACAGTGAAAACATAAACCAAGTACCAAAATGATTTCAGATAGTGGTGAGTACTACGGAGGGAAGAGGCAGGGCAGTGAGCTAGAGAAACTGGGAGAAGCAGGCTTGGGATGCAGTAGTCAGGGAACACCAGAGTGCAGGCCTGAGAGGGGGAAAACGCCCCTGATGGGCAGGGGGAGGGAGAGGCAATAAACTGCATGTGAAAGACCCTAACAGGTTAAAGCCTGCTGCACTCAAGGAACGTGAAAGAGGCCGGCATGGGTGGAGCGCAAGGAAGGATGATGCAGTGGGTGATGTGGGCAGGCCCAGATTATCGAGGCCCTGCAGGCTATGATAAGCGATTTGGATTTTATTCTGAGAGCAGTAAGTCTTGCAAGAGTTTTAAGGAAAGTAACGGTGACATTGTTTCATTTACATTTCTAAAGGACAACTCTGGAGGCTCTGTGGAGAATGAATTATTGGTGTCAGGAGTAGGGGTAATGCCAGTTAGGAGGCTACTGCCTGAATCTAGGTGAGAGATTGAAGCAGTCTCAATCAGGCAGTGGCAGTGGAGGAGAGAAATCGTTGGGTCTGAGATAGATTTTAGATGCAGAATTGCCAGGATCTCCAAATGATTGAATATGGAGATGTGGGTAAGGAGGGAATTGAGGATAACTCCTAGGAACTGGCAAACATGCTGCTGTGTCCTGAGATGGAATCTTAGCCAGAGGGAGGATCAAGAGTTCTCTCTTAGAAACGTTAAATATGTTTATCAGACATCCAGGTGAGGATACCTCACAAGTAGCTAGGTATATAAGACAGCGGCTCTGGGGAGAGGTCAGGATTAGTTATGAATGTAGGGGTCACTGTCCCACAGATGGTATTAAGAGCTTGAGAATGGAATGGAAAATTCTAGGGAAAAGTATGTTGAGTGAGAAAAGCCATTTCAAAGCCCTAGGGGGCCCGGACATAGAGGCTGGAAGAGGAAAAGCCATCAAAGTAGAATGAGATGGAGATGGAGTGGCTGATGAGGCGGAGAGGAAACCAGAAGTGCCAGGTCCTAGAAGCCAAGAGAGAGGCCAGCTGTGTCAAGTGATGCTCAGAGACTGATTAGGTCTCTGGTGACCTTGAGTGCAAGAGAGCTGTTTCACGGTGGGGATGAAAGTGGGGTTGGAGAGGGTTAAGAAGAGAATGGGGCCGGAGGGGAGGTGAAGAACTGGAAATAGTTACTGTAGACAACGCTTTCCAGAAATGTCTGGGTGATGGGGAGCAAATATGGAGAGGCATATGGAATTGAGATTGTTGATGCGCTTTTAAAGAGAGGAGAATGGCAGGAGCCACGCCCTCGGGCTGCAAGTACACTGCACTTCACCTGTTGTCTCTAACTGCACACTCTAGTTCTTGTGCCGGATCTGTTTCCTGTGATCCTCAAACGATGGCATCCTTCTGGGCCCCAAGCCCAGCACCCTGCTCTTCTCTCTCTCCACGCCCTTCTTGGTGGATCTTATCAACTCCCACAGTTTCAAATGCCTCCGCCAAGTTGGCATCCACACCTTGTCTCCCATCTAAAGCTCTGCTCAGCGGTGCAGATGCTCAACATTTATTTCCACTGGATGTTCCACGGGCACCACGTGGTAAAGCCAGCCCCTGCCCCTTCCCCCACCTCTCTCTTCTACTTGAGTTTTGAGCAAGACAGTGCTCCTTGCCAAGGTTCTTCAGCACAGCCCCCTTTATCCACTGCCAGTGTGACTTTACACGTCACCAGCCCCATTGGCTAGCAAGTGGCTACCGGCTCAGTAAATAACCAGCTTAATTGGCTACTAAGTGGCAAAACCAGTCTATCAACCCAGATCATCAATTTGACCCTTAAAACCATGCTGCTACTACATACCTCTCTTAAAGTTAAGTTCCTGCAGTTACTTTATTTTCAAAGTGCATCATTAAATCTTTATTTTATTAGTACATAGCTATTCACATTTAAGTCAGCAAGATAAAGTATAACCTTATGATAAATATTCGTATGAGAAAAAAGTCTATCAAAATGTTTTATTCTCACAAATTACTGCTGGAGGAAGTCCTTCAAACAAACCAGTGCAGTGAAAATGTCTGAGGAAGTATCAATTTTTCAGATTTCTTCACCACTGCTTTAGTATGTATCCTCTTTGTAATTTTGTATGCTCATGTTTTTAAGAGCTGCTACTTCAAAGGATAGTAACTCTTCAGTGTTTTTATTTCCAAGTTTGTGATTTTTTAAGGGCTACTTTAGGGCTGTGAATTGTCTCACTGTCTTTTCACTCTCTCTTTTTAGTTCTTCAATATGAGCATCAAGGCGCTCCAGAATATGATGAGATCTCAGCTCCTCCTCTTCCAAAAATCTGGTAGCTATTGAACCGAGGGGAGACACAGGCAAGGAACACTGGAAGAGAAACAAATGTTGACATGTGTAGGTAAAGTAGAACATTGTATTTCTAAGACACACTGTTCATATTTTCTAACTAGCAATATTAGCAGATAATTTTTTCCCCTGAAAAGGTATTTTTTATTTTCATCCTAATGACAAGAGCAGTAAAATAAAAAGATCAGTAAGTTCTGCAAAAATAAACACAGATCTCTCCCTTTCTGACCCAAGTTATATCAATGTAAAGTGTCATATAAATATATTAGGTATTGGTCTGAAGAATATCTCAATTTAGACTTATGTATATCTTTTTATACCCCAGAACAGACTATAGTTAATGCCTATTATTTCAAACTCACTTTAAAAACCTGAATATGTCACTTTCATTTTAAAGTACCGAAAATTTGACAAAAATAAATTAGATGCCAGCTAAAATCAATATTTTCTCTTTTCCAGAATTCCAGTCCACACTCTCTTATCTGAAACCCTTGGGGCCAGTGATGTTTCAGAATTCTGATTTTAGAAAGGTAATACAGGACATATGCCATATGCGGTCAATCTTCATCCACAGTAGTTGTGTTCTACGAAGTCACCCTGAACCCTGAATTAGCGAATACAGAATCGTTGGCCCCAGGGGAAATACACACACACACATACAACACACACACACACACACACACACACACACACACACACACACACTCTTCGTATAGATTATAATGCTAAATCCTAGAGATAGTTCTGGTAGATTCTATATTCTTTATTTTACAAAAGAGACATGAGGTTCAGAAATGATAAATGACTCTCCTGAAGCCACCCTACTAACCGGTTCCAGAGTTGGGATTAAAACCCTGTCCAGCTGGCCCAGAGCTGAGCTTCTTGCACTACACTGGGCTGCCCCTGCCATCTCTGTCCTCTGGTCACCCCTGTATGAGCACTGAGACAAGAAGGCAGAGCGCCATCTGGCTCCACTTTGGCTGGGAATGTGCAAGTCAGCGACTCAAACATTTTGCCTCTCTGCACATGTCCACAAATGACTGCAGAAGTGCCACAGGTATCTATTTGGGAGTTATGAATAAAGTTTAGGGAGTGGGAGAACTCACAAATGCAGAATCTGTGAATAATGAGGAACAACTGTATCACCCTAGTGGAATCTGAGATAACAACCCATAAGCAAACACACTGATATTTCTGAAGCAAAACACATGGATACTCACACTAAGTGGGATAAATAAAGTCTATACATATTATAATCAGCTCAGGTCAGGGAAGGTTTTGGTGTCAAAAAGTTTTGCTGCTAAACTTAGGAAGAAGGTTAGCTTTTAGGGCTTCTTTGGATTTCAGAATTACATATAAGTGGGGACTTATGCACTTTCACAGGTGTATGACCATAGCTGGTGATAGGAATTGAATGGCACAAGGCCAGTGCTTCAGTGTAGAAGGCAAAAAATGTCAGAGGCCCTGCCTTCCCCCACCTCTGCCCACCCCCTTTCCTCTTCCTAACAGTTCCTCTTTTCCTCCCTGTCTGTGCCTCAGCACCGTCTTGGCTTCCAGAGATATTCCTCGAACCAACCATTCCAATGGAAAACTGAGCCTCTCTGAAAAAGGCAGGAAGGGAATTTCCAATTAGAGTTAAAGACAATGAATACCTATATTTCAGAACTAGGATGAATTCTGAAAAGCAATCTTGGCCGAATGTGCCTTTACAAACAAAACCACAAGACAGAAATACATAGGAATAATAAAGGGTATTAGGATATGGAACCAGTAAGAAAAAAAAATCACCCTCTTCACCCTTAAAATAAAAAATAAAATTAAACTAAAATAACTAACAAACTAGTAAGATCAGAAAGTTTCCATACCGAAGACATAAATTCTTCTTGGTCATTCATACTCTCTGACACAGTGTCAGAAAAAGTGGCTTCATTTGTATCTAGCGCTGAAGGCAAAGAGTGAGTTTTACACAGAAAGTAGGAAGGCAAAGAGTTGGTGGAGCTGCCAAGGCTGATTTGAGGACTCAAGGGGCTTAGGACCCTGGACATAGGGTCTACACTATCCAACGCTTGTCCTCTGGGAGAATGAAGACCAGTTTTGTAGTGCTCAGTCTTTATTCCATCATTTCTGTGTTGGCCATGGGTTGGTCTGGATAGTAAATTAGAAAACAAAACAAATAAAAAATTGTAGTAACTTGTCTCTTTTCAAAAGAAATGTTGTAGGAAGTTCACTTAAAAATAAACAAGCTAACTCATAAGGCTGTAATTTACAAAATGAGCAGCCCACTAAGACCAGGTGTTTTTTCATTCATTCAGGCTCCTGCCCTCACACATTTATAATATTTCAAGGAAGACAAGCAAGCTGCCAGCATTATGTAGTATGGTTGGTGCTGGGTAAGGGAAGGTACTATGCACATAAGAACTATGCAATGAGGCATCTAACCTCATTGAATGGTGGGGGTGCAGGTGTTCAAAGACTTTTGGTAGGAAAACACGTAAGGCATATAGTATGAGCTGAAGCCAGGTAGCTTTTCATTGAATGCTTACTTCCTATGGTAACAGCCTACAACTGATTGACAAAAAATACAAAAGAAGCTTTTTATTAAAAAAATAAATTCTATTTCTTATGGGGCAAGCAGGGTTGAGGAGGTGGGAGGCAGCAAAAAAAGGCTCAGGAGAATACAGATGTTTATACCGACATCCAGAGTATACAACCTAAGCTTTAATGAAAATGCTATACAACCTCCCCTCCATTTCTTAATCTATTTGTAGCTTTACTGATTGTACACACTGTACTTCAGAATTAAACATAGAATCCTTTGATGAAGATTTAATTTCTGTCAGAAATTACTCTCAAAGAAATGAAAATAAACTTTTAAGAAACTTTACTTGAAGTCTGTATTCTTGAATTCAGTTGTTCTGCTGTGTGTTGGTTTAAAGATCCTGTTATTTTGTTTTTTGCACATCTGAACAGAAATCTCCAGCTGAGATTTAGTATTCATCAAATCTTTCTGTAGTTGTTGATTTTCAGACACTAATTTATTTAATGCCTCAATATAATTTTCCTGGAGGTCTGCTAGTGAAATCTCTTTTGCCTAATAAAAAAGAATACTCGACTCATTAATTTGTACAAGAATATTTGTGATCTGTGATACTGTGGGTTGAAAAATTCCTTTTTTTTTTTTTTTAAAGTTGTAACTAGTTAATCTACAGCTTTATTTTGGAAAAAGTGAAGATTTTAGTCCTCCTAAGACTAACAGAGAAAAAGTGTTCTGTTTCTTAGAGTAAATGGTAGTGTCACCATCCTCCAAGTGAAGGTTTTTTCAGGTTTGTGGCATTTAATCAAGTGTCTGATCAGGCAAGACCATAGTCTAAGTTTTCTTTTTCTTGGGTCACCCTGTCTATCCTTAAGTCTTGCACAAGCATCTAGCACAAGCACAGCAAACGAGGGGAGACTGACTAACATTAAAAGGGCAAGTGGCATAAGGGTATTCCTGCCTTGCAAGGCGGCGTATTAAGTTGCAAGCGTCTCGTCCCCAAATATGGAGAAGTCGCATAGAGAGAAGTAAAAACAAAGTCTAGCAGTAGAGTTTAGGCCTGGAATTGTCATGGCTTAGAGAGTATTTGGACTCCTGCACAGCACAAGGAAATCCTCTGCCAATCCCCTAGGTTAGTGTCACCCAGCTTGTGGCTACTGAATCTGACTCAATTTGTCACCCCGGTCGGGGGAGCCACAGTCAGCCAGATGGAGCAAGGTTATGTATCTGTAACTCACTGAGAGACTATAAAAGCGGTGAGACATAAGAACGTGTTTACCTCAAAGTACAACATGACAGTCAAGGCTTACACGCCATGTCCAGTCACGGTTGCCACGGAGATGGTACCATCCTCTGAGCAGAGGTTTTTTCAGGTTTTTGGTGATCATGGGAAGAAAAGAAGTTTGGGATGTACTACATAAGCCAAAAGCAAGCAGCTTTTATTGAAAGTGAAAACGAGAGAATTTGCTCTAGAGAGAGAGCGGCAAGCTCGAAAAGAGCTGCTGTCCATAAAGGAAGGAGTTTTGGTCTTGTGAAGTCTCACTAATTGAAGGGGAGAATATTCAAGGCTAAGGGGTTGGTTTTTACTAAGAATCTGGGTAGTAACTCCTAGAAATGGGTTTCCTCTCATTTTTCTACTTTATATATTAATAGTTGTTTTGGAACTATCATAGCGATTTCAAAGGTGGAGAAATTTTAAAACCACAATGCAAATGATACTGTAATTAGCCAAAGTTCATGTGAGGTGACCTAGAGAGCTGACAAGCAAGTTAAAGCCAGTTTTTGTCTGTGAGTATTAGCCCCCTCTCTCCTTTGGTTAGACTTTAACATCTGTACCTACTCTGCAAGTCCCTATATCCGGCTCCTAGCCCAGTAGCTTAGTTAGCTTCGGTCTGAGGGTTGTTTATTTTAACATGTGCACACACTCTGCAAGCCCCTGCATTTGGTCTCAGTCTTGTCTCTTACTCTTACTCTAACAGTAGTGGAAAGTCAGAAGCACAGTGGGCTTCCTCAAGTGTCAAGAATATTCATGGAGCTGGAAGAAGGTTGGAACTAGGATGGAGGAAAGCTATAAGTGAGAATGAGAAAGAGAGAAAATAGTAGCCATGGTTCTTCTGCCGTAACTTAAGAGTATTCTTTTTTTTTTTGAGACAGGGTCTCAATTCTGTTGCCCAGCATGTGATCATAGCCCACTGCAACCTCAAACCCCTGAGCTCAAGTGATGCTCCTGCATCAGCCTCCCAAAGTGCCGGAATTTCAGGTATAAACCACCATGCCAGGCCCAGGAATATTCTTATACGTAAATGTGGACAGGTTAAAGCAGGATTCAAGTATACAGTGGGAATTACTACCCTGATCTGGTCTTAGTTTCGTGCTAAACTCTATTGCTCTTCAATTCTAGGTGTTTCCTGGTAATACACTACCAGTGTTTTCATTTTTTTCATTAGGGAGATTTTTCCCTAATGACAAAATATTTTAATTAGCATTCTGCAAAGTTATGGTAATCTTCTTTGGAGTTTAACATGATGTTTAGCTTGGTCTTTTCTGTAAAAAAATTACTGAAAGTAAGGTGGTAAAGAATGGTCTGACAAACATAATTTTCCTAAAAAAAACATAATCTTTAAAATATACCTGTGAACTATCTATGTACAATGAGTTACAAAATCTTCCAAAAAGTTATCAATGCCAACATTGATAAAATTTCCGAGATGAACATTTGCAGGACAGATGAGTTAAACAAACTACTGTCAGTTTTTAAAATATGATAAATAATTTATCAGAGCTGTTGCTTTCATTAAGATAATTGGATAATTTATTAAAATAGACATTTAACCCAAATATTCATGTGTAAAAGTAACTGCACCTTTCTAGGTCATAAAATGCAAAGGGGCACTTTCTAATAATTATCCTTAGTGATATGCACAACATGTTCACACTGTGTACTACTTCAAAACCAGGGGAAGTATGAACTGCTCACAGGATTTTCACTAGCCAGTTTGATGTCTGATGTCATCAAACATACTTTTAAAAAAAGATAATGTTTGCCTTTGTCAGGTACCTTTTAACAATTTCTCAAAGTTATTATTTTATTAACAATTATAGATAAATAAATGTGAAGGGGAATGTTAAAAATTGAGTTGCAAGCACACACCAAGCTGTGTAAAGAAAGAACACTATTACCACTATTAGATGGAGATTTCAGGAGAAATTAAGCTGAACAAAATCTCTGGTCATAGTCTGGCTTAAGCTCCCCTGAAAGTTTTCAACTCTTAAATATGGACAGGTAATCACTACATAAGATAAGAGTCTCTCAACCAAGTATTGCTGAATCTTGAGCCTTTTGAGGAATTTGTGGTGTAAATCAGGCTAGTTCTTGGATTTCTCCACTACTTAGTATTGGCTTTATCAGGGCATATAAAGTTATCTACCATTCGTCCACCCATCCATTCATCCACCCATCCATTCATCCACCCACTCATCCATCCATCCATCCTCCCCCTTACAAAACATTTAGCTGTTGTCTCCTCTCCTATTTTTCCCATCCTTGTAAATTTGTGCTTTAAAAAAAAAATAATCCCTTCATTACAGTTTTAGAGGAGTCTGGAGAGGGAGTAAAATTAGATGAATTTTTTCATCTGCCATCTTAAATGACAGCATAATATTTCATAGTATAGAGAGTCACAAATTAACCATTTAAATAAACATTTAGCTTATTTCTAAATTGTGGATATTGCAAATAACACTGCAATGATAATTTCTGCACATTTGTTCCTATAGTATAGGTTTTTTGGGAATGTAAACTGGTAAGATCATTCTGAAGAACAATTTAGCAATGACTATCGAAATCAGAAATACACATGACCCAGGAGTTTAGAAGCTATATGCATTTACATGTTTGATGAGTATTGCTAATTGTCCTCTAGAAAGGCCTTATCAATTCCAGTGCATAAGAGAGCCTGTTTCTCTACATCCTTGCTAACACTGGCTATATATTCATTTTTAAAAGTCATTATCAAGCCAATTAGTAAAAAAAAATCTATTTATATTGTTTTGAATATCATGAAGGGTAAACAGCTTTGTTTACTGGATAAGTACATTAATTCTATGAATTATCTATTATTGTCCTTTGCCCATTTTTCTACTAGATTATCTTTCCTTATTACCTTTGTGGGAAATCTTTATATATTAATATTTTATGTTAACCTTTTTTCTGTTTATAGGTTGTTTTCTCCCTATTAGTCTTTTTTAATGAGGTCTTTTACCATCCAGAAATTTTACATTTTTATGTTGTAAAATCCTTTATGGCTTCATGATGTTTAGAGAATCTTACCCTTCTAAAAGATATAAAAACTGTCCCTCATTTTTCTAGTTGAAGTAAAGTATTCTTCTAGCCTTTTGCACATTCTTTCACCCCAGCCTCCACAATCTAGGATTGCAGAATTAGAACTACTTAGGAGCAAATAGGCAGCATCTTTTTGGAGGAATATACTCTCTGGAAATGCAGAAAAAAAGCATTTATACAATCTTTTGACATTTGACCTACATGGAGAAAAGACGGGTCAGAATAAATGAGTCAGTTAGCAAATTATGAGAATTTTATAACAAAATAATTAAAAGAGCATCTACACTGTTTACAACTCACTGTTGGCTAATCACGTTCTCTCTTGGTTTCATAGAAGCTTATATACATTTCTTTTTTCTTTTCAAGATGAGGCCTCATTGTGTTGCCCAAGCTGGTCTCAAATTCCTGGGCTCAAGCAATCCTCTTTTCTCAGCCTCCTGAGTCTCCAGGGTTACGGGCACGTGCCTCTGTGCCCGGCACTGTATGCATTTCTTATCCTCACTACTAGATTAATCTCTTAAAAGCAAGAATCCTACCTTATTCATCCCCCGTTCATTATAGCACCTACTAAAATTCTTTACACATAAAAGATTCTAAAATATTTGATTAAACAAATCATATCTTGTAGAAATATAATTAAAACTAAATTAGTTAAAAGATAATATACTTTAGAATAAAAAGATATTGTGAACATAATAATTACAATAATAATAATACCAGCATCTAGCATTTGCTCCATACTTACTAAGTGCCAGGCACTATGCTAAGGCATTCATTCATTCACTCATTCATTCATTTGAGACAGAGTCTTGCTCTGTCACCCCAGCTAGAGTGCAGTGGCGTTGTCATAGCTCACAGCAACATCAAACTCCTGGGCTCAAGCAATCCTGCCTCAGCCTCCCAAGTAGCTGGGACTACAGGCATGCACCACCATGCCTGGCTAATTTTTTCTATTTTTAGTAGAGATGGGGTCTCGCTCTTGCTCAGGCTGGTCTCAAACTCCTGAGCTCAAACGATCCACCAGCCTTGGCCTCCCAGAGTACTAGGATTACAGGTGTGAGCCACTGTGCGCAGCTTGCTAAGGCCTTTATATATATTTTCCCCTCTAAGAACATAGACTGTACATATATTTTATCACATACATAATATTATATAAAAAAAAAATCTTCCTACTGCTGGAGCAGAAAGTTACATTTTACTCACTTCCATCATTATTTTGACTTCATTCTATTTGAGAAAATTTCTATAAGAGGATCATTCTACTAGTTTGATCTTAACTCTCTCTTTATAATATCAATATTTACAAAGTGATTTTTTAAAAGGCTTGGATAGTAGAAAACTTGAGTTTCTATTTATGTACCTCATGTAAACCCAATTCCAACTTCATCACCACTTCAGAAAGACGTTGGTTTTCTAACTTGAGTGACTCTAGCTGATTCAAAATCTCCTGAAAAGGAAAAAGCAAAAAACAATAAATATAAAAAATAAATGCATCTTACGAAATTTTTCCACATGTAATTTTCATTAGACTAAGTTACATTCTTCATTCATATATAAACACATATATAAAATAAATATGTATTATCTAAAAGGATTTTTTAAAGGTGTTCTCACGGTGAATTAACATGCATGTGATTAAAATATCCTAAGATGATAAATCAGGTGAAGCAGCAAAGCTTCAGTTCACTGGTAAATATCAAACCACTCTCCTGGGTTAGCCCTCTCTCATTTGGCTTCTACCTCTGGAACAGCCTTTACAAATTGATAAAGGGGTGCAAGGTGAGAACTGAGGTAAGGGCCTAGCTAAAAATAAGGCACAGGCCTAGCTAAAAAAAATAATAATAATTAGCCACTGTCCCCATTTGCTTCTCTATAAATGCTACTCTGTAGCCACATAGCTGGTGGTCATAAAGATTCTTAGCTTTCCCCACAGATAACATCACCTGTTTGAAACGTAAGGGTAGTTTCTGAGATATCTTCCAGGTCCCACATTCCAGTGGAACAGCTGACCCACCCAGACCAGTAGCCCATACCGAAGAACTGACTCAATCGGTCTTGTGGCCCCCACCCAAGAACCTAGTCAGCAAAAAAGACAATTTCTACAACCCCATGGTTCCACCTCGAACCCAGCCAATTAGCAGACCCAATTTCCTATGCCAAACTGTCTTAAAAACCCTGTCTCCCAAATTCTCAGGGAGGTGGATTTGAGAAATTTCTCCCATCTCCTCACTTAGCACTGTGCGGATTAAATTCTTTCTCTGCTGCAAACTCAGCTGTCTCAGTGCATTGGCTTCCTCTTGGACAGCAGGCAAATGAACCTGGTTGGGTGGCAACACCCCCAGCATCCCATGGAACTGCACTTCTTTCACGAAATAACAACTTATTTTCAGTCCTCATTGTCCTTAGCCTTTCTGCTGGACCATTCCTTGAAAAGATCCCTGACTTCCTTGGTTTGGCAAACACTATCTGGTTTCCTTCCTCACTGATACTTTTTTTAGCTTCGTTCCAACATCTTTTTTACCCTAAATGAGAAGTAACCTAAATTTAGTTTGAGTCACTGCTCTTTATCCTTTATGCTTTCTCATCATAATCTCTAAGTCTCTCAGAAAGTTTCAAATGCCAGCTTCACGCAAGGATTCCCACAGCTAAATGCCTAATCCTGATTTTAATCCTGAAATCCAGGCCTTCTGTGGAATTGACTATTAGATATTTCCACATAAAAGTACAGCCTTTATCTCCAACCAAATGTGGCAAACCAATGTCCCCTCCACCAGCTTCCCTACTCTGTGTATCTTTCACACAAACTCATCAACTTCCCCCAGACTTGCTCCCTATCTTTATTTCATCACTTTCCATCAGTTGCCCACACTTGGATCTTAAGTGACATCTTTCCTTAACTCTGCCTATCTCACCCTCCCTGCCAGTCAAATACAAAGCCCAGTCAACTTCGCCAGCCAAGTATCCCCAGAATTCATCCATTTCCCTCTCCCTCCCTTGCCTACTGCTTAGGCCCTCATCTTACTGCTGTGACAGCATCTGCATGGTCTCTTGACCTCCTTGTTTCGTGCCCATTCAAGGACCATCAAGACCCTGTATTCCTGCTTCAGGCCATTCCCTACTGATCTCAAGGTCAGACCAGAATTCGGTCACCCAGCTGACAGGGCCCTTCAGGAGTTAGTCCCTGGTTTCTAGTCTCATTCCTTCCACTCATCCCACCCATATTCTAGTTTCAACCATGGCAGGCATGTCCCACTCTCTCTTAGAGGCCTCTGTGTATACTCTTCCTTTGTGTGAAACACGTTTCCTCCCCCTCACCTAGCTCATTCCTATTCAGTCCTTAGCTCCTAACTTAGCTACCATGACCTCTGGGAAGCCTCTGCAGAGAGTGGTCTAGATCCAGGCTCCTTGAGGTGCCCCCAGCCTCTCACCACACACCCCTGGCACAGGCACTTTCCTTGTCTGTATCTACTCTCACCTCCCCAACAATCCTCATTAGACTGCTTGTTAACCAGTATACCCTTAGCTCAGACCAGGTGCCTATGAAAAATTTACTGAGTTAAATATTACAGAAATGATATCTTTAATTAATTCCATCTTCAAAAACAAACTTCAATAAAAAGAGTATTTACTCAGGCTTCACCACCTTATGCTCTACTGCTTTTTCTTCTGACTTTTGCATCTCTGCTTTGAGTTGCTTTTCCATGTCTGAGGAAGAACCTTTGGCAGAAGCAATAGTAATATCTCGCTGATGTAACTCCCGAGTTAGCTGGGAGATTTCCATCTTCATTCCTTCTAGTGCAGAACTGTAACTTTGTTCAGCCTGTATAATCTGTTCTTTCAACTACAAAGAAGCAAAAAGGAAAGCACTAAAGGTTAAGAGAAAGCATTTAGATAGAAAAACATATTAATAGCTAATAAAGTAAATTTTACCTTACCTCAAAACATGAAATTTTTTTCTAGATTAGATCTGCAGAAAATTAGCAATTTACCAGAATGCATGTCTATACTGAAGGTCAGGTAGCTATAACTACAATCATTTATTACAATCATCTCCCTCTCAAAACAGGGAGAAATGGATTATTCAAACATGAAGGACCAGTATCAAAGTCCATGTACACCGTTCAGAGGACAGAACCTGTGACCTTCGTTCTTTTATTAGTTACAAACCTGTAAATATTGCTTATGTGGTTTCCTGGCCTACAAAAGATAATAAGTAACAAAAAGAAAGACAAGAGGAAGAAGGGGCTAGAAGTAATCTCAAAAAGTGATTAAAAAACTACAAACCAACAAATAGGACAGCTAGCGCTCTGCGAATCTCAGTAGCTAACGAGGGTATTAACCACACCGTAGCACAGAAGAAAATACATAACCATACCCATCTTTACTCATTAAGGAAATATTAAATGATAGCTCATATCTTTTTACAAGCAAGAAAGTATATATCTTTTAGAGAGCTTTTCGTCAAAATATGTTTAAAATAAAGATTTAGCATTCAAAGGGTGCAGATTTCAATTACCCTGAAAATATTTATATGGAACCCTCAGGGTAAGAAAGAAGGCACTTCCCATTCCAGTTGCTCTTCCACTCTTGAATATCAAGTGGTCCTTTGGACTACATTTTCCTCTCATTAAAAATGACCCCTACAATCTCCCAATCCATATCTCAGTCCATAAATACATATAATTTTGCAATCCCAGGCATGCAGATTTTTACCTTCTTAATCTCTTCCCTGTAGTCATTGTTATGTCCTTCCAT